CTACTCTCCCTTCTTCTTAGAGTGGAGAAACTCTTATCTTTCTGCCTACTTGATTCTTCTTATTCGTTCTACTATTGATCTAAACCCTTTAATCAATTCAGAATCATACTTAATCTTGTAAGTGTAATCATATTTACTAAGCCTTTAGTAAATCATGACATATATCTTTGTTACTCATATGGTGAACTTGATCAACACACAACTTTGTGTACTCGATCTCCTAGTCCTTCACTCTACACTTTGTCAACGAATTTGTCTAATTTCCAAATATGAAATTTCTCATTCATCATGCAACCAAGTTGCGTGATTCCAAATTTCAGTCCAATTGAAACTTTGGGCGATGAGAAACTCTCCCTATTTGGTAAATTCTCGACATTCCCATAAATAACATAACTAAGAATCATATCCATTCGTTGTAGAAATATGCAAACATCAATTTTCATAACGATTTCATTGCAAGGAAGTAAACAAACAAATAAATAAGTCAAACAAAATTTATTTTATTTATAAAAGCAGCGGAAAAACATTTGTCCTTACAATGCAAAATCCATTGAAAACTATGTAAAAAATGAAAATTTTCTAACAACTCTATCATAACTATCTAAGCTCAAAATCCAATCTTCAAGTCCATACGATCAAGATCCATCTCTTGTGATTAGATTCATCTTTCTCTCTTATCAAGCTTCGTTTCTTTTCACCGATCCTTCAAAACATTCAAATGCAATCTTATCACATCATGTATTAAGAATCAATGAACAGGAACTTAATGGAGTTAGATAGTGGATTCTTACCTAAAGTAGAGCCATACGTTCTGAATCTCCCATCTCTTAGATCTCTTAGGTAATTAGGGCAACTTCGTCTCCAATGCCCCTTCTCTTGGGAATAAAAGCAAATTGACTCTTTTGGAACAACACATGGAACTACTTCAGACATCGCCTTTCTCTTATGATCAAACTTTTCGATCATTGCATGTCTTTCATTGCCATTGTCTATATCCATAGAGGTCTTGAAGGCAGATTCACCAATCAACTTTGCTTTTCTGTTGCGCCAAACCATTGCTGATTCAGCAGCAATAAGCATGTAGGTGAGATCTATAAGGATCACGTCGTGGTTCATCATATAGTAATCTCTTACGAACTCACTATATGAGTTGGGAAGTGACTGAAGAACCCAATCAACAGCCATTTCCTCACAGACAACGGATCCCAACATTCTTAACCTATCAATGTGTGACTTCATCCCTAGGACGTGTGCACACACGGACTTTCCTTCTTTATGTTTACTTGCCAAAAGGGCTTAAGTGATCTTGAACTTTTCAAGCCTTTGATCTTCTAGGTTAGGGAGAATAATTGGAGGAGGTAGAGGAAGTGAAGCATGATTTCTTGTTCCTCGATCGAATCGTGGAATATCATCTTCATGTGGAATGCTTGTTCCACAGGATTTGAGAAGACCATAGTTGTCGAACTTTGACATCTACAAAACGGGAGAAAACGAATTCAAGTTAGTTGATTGATTGAATCCTTAGTAAATCACCCAAATGAGATACTAAGGCTAGGACCCAACACAATATTCTACAACTCGGGAGAGGGATGCCGTAACCCAAATTGCAGAACATTTGAAGGTAAGTGAATGATGATTCACTAATTTCCACCACGAAAAACGAAAAAGAAATTTAAGTTTTAAATCTATGAAAACTCCTAGATCCTTTGAGATTCATTGAACTTTCAATGGCATGTTTAAATCTCGATATGCCCCTCTTGTTTGTGACTGGGATGCCGAGGATCACAAAGCGAGTGTGAATAACCATGCAAACTTACATGGTGCCCTCACATGTTACAATCACCTATTCGATGTGCCGGTAAATCACACACGCTCCACCGAACTATGTCAAACATTGAGTCACCCTTTGCAACCTTTGCTTAGAACCATTTAGTGTGCCGGTAAACCACACACGCTCCACTAACGTCTTCGCAAGGGCACAAAGTGTAATTTCATGGAATTACATCAATTCACTTTTGCCTAAGTAACTAAGATTGGGAATTAGAAAAACATTTAGTTACTTTGTATTTCATTATACTTATAATGGAAGGTTTCGTCCTATCCTACCCGTTCGGCTAACGACCCTCCACTAGTCAAGAGTGCGGTGGGTAAGAGTGGATACCCATTCAATCGCCATTTTATAGGCAATTTCCTTAAACACCCCTTATAGACCAGCTTCGTGAATGAGGCATACTAACGGTAAGACTGACTTTTACTCATACATATATATAATGTTAGACTTTTAATGTTATATATAGTATAGGGTGCATTTTACACTTTTAAAATATTAGGTGGTTAACTTTAACAATTACACTTTTAATTCAATTAAATGGTTAACCTAGACTTTTATGGATTTATTAAATCTCTTTTAATTATACTCCTTAATTAATTAATAAAACCATAAGGGTGTATTTGAACTTTTCAAAATATTACTAGGGTTTTGGAATTTAACATTCCTAATTAACTTTTAATCAACTTTTAAATTCCAAAAGTTGAGGGCAAGTTCTGAAACATTTCAAAACATTAGGGTTTCAACTATTTAAATTTCAAAACAACAAAACTTTTGGGTTCAAATTTAAACTATAAAACCTAAAGGACAAAATATGAAACTTTTCATAACAACAAGGATCAAATAACAAATAATCTAAATTAACATTTAATCACATAATTATCTATATTTGATTTATTTAATGATTTCTTGCAAAACAATTTATCAATTTAATCAAAATAATCAATCAATTATCACATAAGGAAACAAATATTTTATTAATTGATAATTATCTTTAATTAGATCAAGAATATAGTCATATATATCATAAAATCGGATTTATATTGATCTAATATGATAAGGTAACTATCTTAATGCAAAAACAGCAAGAAATCCCGAGATAAGCATTATCTGATGAGTTGACTCGTCGAGTCAAGCCTGAACTCGACGAGTTCAGCTTTGGACTCGGCGAGTCCAACCTCTAAAACATCAAAAATCGAATTTTTTAGATATACAATGCATCAATACAATTGAAACCATCCTAGGCTTTGATACCACTGATGGGTTTTGGTCATAAGGCATCCTATGTGCTCATACAAACCCTAATGCTTGGATCTAGGTTTCTCTATTGTACATGCTTTGAATCCAAGACTATAAACCCTAATCCTAGCATGCAAGTAATCATATTAACATAAGAATAGGTTTATAATGTTACCTTGATTGTTATGTAGCAATAACAATCCCAATTCCTCCTTGAATTGACTTTGGAAGGCTTAGAGTCACAAGTGTCACTCCTCTAATGGCTTACAAACACCAAGAGCAAATGGAGAAGGTATAAAGAGAGAGGAGAGAGGTTAGAATTCGTCCTTAGAACTTCTTGGGAAGAGATCCACGAATTCATGAGCCTTAGGGTCTTTATATAGGTGTAGAGATAGGGTTTCAGTCATTATCCTTATCTAGTTGCTTAAACACAAAGCAACCCATAAGATAATCCTTGAATCCTTATCATAGTCGAATTCTAAGGCCTTATCACCTTAAATTCGTTCACCCTATATTTAAGATAATCCTTACCTTATTTTGTAACTATCACATAATTACAATTCAGCCCCTCTAGTTTAATTAATTACACTTGATCACAAAATTAATTCCTAATTAATTATTGACCAATATTAATTAAGCAAATATGATTTCTCCTTTAATATATTATTTTTATAACATATTAATAAATCATAATAACCTCTCTCTCTTTATTTATTTCTCCAATCAAGTTGCTTTGGTGAAGGCAACCCAAAAGGACCATGCACCATCGGGTCAAGTACATACCAAAATAATTATGGACTTAGACACTAATCCAACACTATATTGTTTGGTAACAGTTGGTTTTGAAGGTTATTGATTATGGATTAATATCATAATAACATTGTAAGATTGAAAACCCTATGTATCTTACCAGGTTTCCCAACCTGACCCACTCAATTTATATACATCACATGTAGCGGTGATAACATTGCTGAAGATTTGAATAGGATGTCGAGTGATTAAAGAGAAGACCTACGATACTGTTCAAGACCGGTTAGTCTTTACGCTATAATGTATGTTATGAATCGATTATGACATCCTTAGAGTTTTTATTATTTTGAGACAATCAATTGTACTCAAAATAATTTAATGTACTTGCTTTATAAGTGATTAAAGAGAAGATCTGCAATAGGATGCCAAATGATTAAAGAGAAGACATGCAATAGTCACAGACAACAAACCATTCCACGAGCAACAACATTCAAAGAAGTACAAGCTAGATGTGCCTTGCTTTATGCTTCTTTTTGGAGTATTTGAAAGGCAAGGAACTCAATGGTGTTTATGAATTCAAAGTAGTATTATGCAATGAAAGCGGCGAATGAGATTTAACTTACCTTTTTAAAATTGGGTTAAAGTCAGATCAAAGTTTTATTCTTTATCTTGGTATGATCAGTGAATTTCTCATATTATTGCTTGTACTTTGTAATTTGTAACGTTTTGTTTTTAATATATACACCGTTAAAAGGAAATAAATAAATAATGGTGGCTCCCTCAACCTTAATACAATGCCATTTGATTATTAAACTAAGGGGAAAATGACGTATAGGCCCTATAATGTTTCTAGGGTTGACCCATTTAGCCAGTTAACTTATTTTGTGGCTTAATAAGGGAACGAATTAGTCTTTGTCGGGTCGATTAAGTCCTTATTTCAATTTTGAAGGGATTAGCCGGTCATTTTAAGTCCACCTCCTTCTACTCACACCACATCGGATACTGACTGTGACTTTCGTCTAATGCCATGTCATTAATTAGTCGCCTCCTTCGTAATGTTCGTATATGCTTTATAAAAGAGCCCTTTTACATCCACTGTTCAACACTTCATCGGTCATGAGCTGCTTCTGAATCCTCAAGCATGAAACCCGTATTCTTACAAGTAGATGTCCACTTCCAAGGAATGTTCGCCAGAAACCCCATACACTACATCGGTGGAATTACTCAGAGGTTTTCGGACATTGATTTCGCAGGAATGGACAAAGATGGGTGTATTGTGTTCATAGAAAGGTTCACTGGGGAAAAGTGTGAGAAGCTATATTATTGCCAACCTGATATTGATTTCCCAAAAGGTTTGACTCTAATTTGCAATGACCCCGATTATTACGACTTCATTGAAATTGCATATGAATGTGGTGTTATACTCCTTATGTATGTTGACCATTTTGGGGATAGTAACATACATGAATGGTTGGATGAACACAAAGACGAGTTTGTTGGTAACGTTGAGGAAGAAGTACTTGATGGTGCAGGATTGGTTAAGGAAGTTACACCAGGGTATCGGGATGTGGGTGACAGTGACACGAACGATGAGGTACAGAATGGCAATGATGATGACGACGAGGATGAGGATGTCGATGGCGATGAGGATGACCATCAGAAGCCTCATTTTTTTTATAAAGGGTAATGAGAGTCAGGTAGAGATGGGTGAGAAAGCAGGTGCATGTGAGTTTTTCGAAGAAGACATGGGTGACAATGAAGATGTTTATCCCGAATTGCCAAACATTTTCAATGATAAGCTCAATTAGAAGGAGCAGGAACCTGTTTTAGGTATGAGGTTTGAGAGTCCTAAGCAATTGAAACACATGCTTTGTAACTATGTTGTTGCGAATGGTTATCAATTATGTTTTGTTAAGAATGATACTAGACGATTACTTGTCAAATGTTGTGATGGCAAATGTACTTTTAGGCTTTGGGGTTCTTGGATGAGTGAAGATAAGTCTTTCCAGATAAAATCTCTTATCGGTGAGCATAATTGTGCAAAGAATTTCAAATTCGGATCAATTGTGACTTACAAATGGATAGGGACCCACTTTAAGCACCAATTTTATAACAATCAAAAGATGTGCGTCCGAATGCTTAGAGGGGAGGTAAAAATAGATTTTGGGATTAACGTGAGTATGAGTCAGTGTAGGAGAGCCAAGAAGTATGCATTGAGTCTAGTTGAAGGGACAATACCTGAGAATTATGGAAGATTATGGTCATATGGTGAGGATATTAAAAGATCAAATCCTGGATCCACAGTTAAAATTTGTGTTGATTCAATGTCTGATGGTAAGAATTATTTCAGCAAAATATACATACGTTTTGCTTCAGTAAAAGAGGGATGGAGGGGAGGATGTAGGAGGATCATTAACCTGGATGGTTGTTTTCTGAAAACTTTTTGTCAAGGGAAGTTACTTTGTGCTGTGGGTAGAGATGCTAACAATGGAATATTCCCAATTGCTTGGGCAGTTGTTTCTGTGGAAAACAAAGAGATTTGGAAATGGTTCTTAGAAACTCTTTCAGAAGATTTGCAATGTTGGAATGATGGTAACGGTTTGGTTCTAATTTCGGATCAACACAAGGTATGGTTCAAAACTATTGCATGTTTTAAATTTAGTTATTGCTATTCGAATTTCAAACATTAGTGTGACTTATGTAGGGTTTGATTGAGGTAGTAAAGGAAGTACTTCCAGCAGTTGAACATAGGCAGTGTGCTAGACATATCTATGCAATTTTAGAAAGAGATTTAGTGGATCCAAGTTTGAAAATCTATTTTGGAAAGCGAGCAAGGCAACAACTGAAGCACAATTTAATGTAGTTATGAAAGAGATTGGAAAATTAAATCCGGAAGCAGTTGTGCATCTTATGGCTAGAGATCCAAAGACTTGGTCTTTGGCTTTTTTCAGAGTTCATAATTCTTGTGAGTCAGTAGAGAATGGTTTTTCAGAGAGTTTTAATAGTGTGATTTTGGATGCCCGGAAGAAACCAATAATAAGCATGTTAGAGGACATTCGTATATATGTGATGCAAAGGATGGTGACTATGAAACTAACCGGACAAGGATGGAATGCTTATTCTGTTTGTCCAAACATCAGAATACAGTTGAATATGCTCCTAATTGAGCAAAGGTTTGTACATTTATCCAATTACATTAGTACTTTACTCTTCACATCTCATGATATTTGCGGTTTTCATCTATATATGTAGGCATTGGCATGTCATTTCTTGTGGGGGGATGAAGTTTGAGGCAAGGAAGATGGACGAGGCGTTTATTGTGGATGTTGAAAAAAAGGAATGCAGCTGCAGGCTATGACAACTTAATGGATATGGCTGCGTACACTCAGTTGCCACCTTAGCCTACCTAAATTTGACACCTGACGGTCCATATGTAGATCCAATGTACTTGGCTGCATTATACCATAATACTTACAAAAAGCCAATCCATGGGATGAATGGACAAAATATGTGGCCTTCTACTGACTTGATACCCTCTTTGCCTCCATTGAAAAGACGTATGCCAGGAAGGCCAACCATAAAGAGAAGAAGAGATGCTTCTGAACGGATGGGAAAACATATCGTCTGCAAGGCAGGGAAGAAAGTTTCTTGCAGCATATGCAAGGAGAAAGGACACAACAAGGCTACTTGTAGTAAAGGTGTAGGAACATCCAAACAAAATGGAACAAAGAAACAAAAAACTATACCTACGCAGGAGTCTGTAAACGTTGCCACAGGAGTAGGGGATGATGAGGTAATCGTAGATGCTACTGATGCTTTGGATAGGCCTAGAGATGAAGAGCTAATGGTGGGAGTCAATGGATGGGATGAAGGGGTGAATGTCAATGCTCGAGTTAAGCATGTTAAACCACCTAAAATGTGAAAGAAGTCAGAACGAATCATTAAACTGAAGCTTGCAAAAAATGTAGGAGGTGAAGGTAGCAGTGTTGCAACGGCCATGGACTTGGATTAAGTAGTTGTTTGTTATTTGTAGTGAATGTGTGTTGCAGTAAACAAATTATCTTTGTATGTTCTTTTATGGTGTACTACGAATATTTAGGGGTATTATGGGCATTTTAGCCAAAACAAAGTAAACTGACCATTTATGATGTGGGGGTATTTGAGTTATTACTATTTAAATTGACCATTTTGGTTATGGGGGCATTTTAGTCATTATAAATTAAATTTAACATTTTGGATGTGAGGGCATTTTAATCATTAGAAATTATAACCATTTTTGGATGTGGGGGTAATTAAGTCATTACAAAGTAAATTGGCCATTTTGGATGCAGGGGTAATTAAGTCATTACAAAGTAAATTGACCATTTTGATGCAGGGGTAATTAAGTCATTGTAAAAAACAGGAGACTTATGACTTAATCCATTCAACATGAAAAGGCTATCTTTAGAAAACTTTATTCCCTTTTTTTTCCAAAAAAAGGTTTGCAGACAAGCAGATATGGTTCAATCGTGTGCAAAGGTATTTTTTGTCCCTTTTCCCAAACTGCACCATTTGTGGTCCCTGTCTATGCGCATAAAGAAGGTAAATTCATTTTTCTTTGTCTTGTGGTGTCGTCCCAGTCGATGAAACATATATAATACCCAAATGTTTCTTTCTTTCATGCACACATACAGATACAGGTGAAAGACAAATTCGTTTTTTTAATAATAACATATTAAAACACATTTCACCCATGGGTTTGTTTACATTGCTTCCTGCTATTCAATAACCTATTACAGAGATCATCGACAAAAAACTTCATCAAAAAATGATGACAAATCAGCAGCCCAGCAACACCACCACCAAATCTACAAACCAACATCACAAACTAATACCAGCAACCCACACAAAATCTACTACTAATATTGACACTAAACAACATAGGCAACACACCAAAACACAAACCTAGGAGTGAAATGCTTCAACCTACACAACATTTTTTTACTTAAACACCAAATACGTCACCACAAACGCACAAACAACACCAAAAATCCCAACACAAGACATCAGCTTCTTACGTTTGTTGTCCTTGAAGACCATCTTCACATATGCTCCTTGCAGAGAAACGAGATGATTTTTAAGATCAGCAACCATATGTGAGATATCCATCTGACCAGCGCGAACGTCATCGACCTCAAGGTTCATGGCATCTAAGTGTCGATTAACTGCCTGACGGAGCTCACACAACTGGTCTTGGAAGTCCTCCCGTATAAGAGACAGTTCCATCTGGGTTTGCAGTAGACTGATGGCCATGTCTTCGTTGGTTACACCATTCGAATGATTCTCATCCATGTGACGGCCGTAATTTGGAGACTAGCTGTGTTCTGCACGTCCGCTCGAAGCCATTTTGGAGTAAACTCAGAGACGAGATTGGGGTAATGAAGTTTACAGATGTGCCCTTTTAGGTCAACGAAGTCTTCATTTTATATGGAGGCGCTAGAACTGTCGATCCTTGCTCCTTACGATTCGCCTTCAATACGACGTCGTTGTCGTTCTTGGACGATTTAACTTCTTGCCATGTCATCGCTTACGTGTTAGGCTAGGTTTATGTGGCAACGTTAACCGGCTACAATAGGTAAAAGGGACTATATTGTTAGGTAACAAATAATTCGTTCCCTTATTAAGCCACAAAATAAGTTAACAGGCTAAATGGATCAACCCTAGAAACATTATAGAGCCTATACGTCATTTTCCCTTAAATTAAGTATGGTTTGTAGTGTCTTTTAGTGTTATTTAGTTATCAAATCCTCAACGACCTCAAATCTTTTAAAAATAAGGAGTAATCTTAAAAAATAATCAAAAGTCAATATCAGTATACAAGTAAATCATTATGTGCCATGGCTAGTCTTATTTGATACACACATGATCAATATTTTTGACATTTCACTTTTAGAGTTACCCTTACATGAAACGCCATAATGCGACGAACAATAAAAATATATAAATATGTTTTATTATGTACAAAAAATCCCCTATTTGATATTTTCTTGTTTTATGTAATTTATCATGAGCTTTAAAGGATGGTGTTAAATTGATTCTCATGGATAAAACATGTATGTGTGACCATATGAGTAAGATGAACGTTTATATAAGATTGTCATGTTTAAATTGTAATGCATATTAATCAAATATTAACTAAAATAACCATATTTCATATTAATATTTAAGAAAATAAGCTTAAAATAATTTATTATTTTTAAATGACCAACTAGTCCAAAATAAGCTATTTTGGAAGTATAATTATGACAAAAAAATACATTTTGGACCGAAATTTTAGTTCAGAATTCCAGATTTGGGATATAAAATAATATATTTTGGAATTTCAAGAATAAGTCTAAACTTCTATAAACAATTCTGAAATTTCGAAAAATATTTCATTTTTAATTAAAATTTAACAAAAAATTAAAGAAAATAGAAAATAAGAAGTATATATGACACACACCTTAAACATATATTTGATTAGAAAACAATATATTAGAATACACATTTCAGATATAAATAGAAATATATTTTGAGAAAAATTGTATAAATGATAAAAAAAATATTTTATAATTTTTTATATCAATCTGTAATAACCTAAAAATGATTATTTTTATAAACAAAATCTCCAAAAAAAGTTAAAGTTTTAGGACAATTTATGGTCTAGTCTTAAATTAAATTTTATTCATGAAAGAGAATAGGAAAATGGTTATTGTAATTACTTTAATCTTTTACAATTGCAAATTTCAGATTTTTTTTGAGAAAAGATGTTTGCCAACGGTCTATTTGGCGCTCCACCTCAACAGGTAACATGTTGGAAATGTAAAACAACGGTTAAAACGATTACAATAGTTAGTTCAATGTTCTTTTTATTTAATAAAAATTAATTTATGATTAGATATTCAAAACTCTAACATGTTTCACTCTTATAAAATACAAAATTTTGATTTTTTTTTTATTTTAATAACTAATCTTTTTCTACTTAACCTTTGATAAAAAAAAATAAATAAATAAAAAGACATTAAAACCAAAAAGAAATGAAAAGAAAAAAAGCTCCGGCCTACTCTTCATTTTCCGAGATGGCGTTCCCTTGGCATTGTGCATACAACCACCCACTTCATTAAATAATTATATGATTTTATTTTGTTCATAATAATAGTCGCTCATATTGGGGGGTGTCGTCATTGGGTCAAAATGAGGGTGCTCCTAGCTACTCATGTTTAAATACCCAAAACCCCATTCACGTCTTTCAATCTGATTTTGTGGAATCAACTACATTCGTATCGAAGAGAGATATACAGTGTGCGTCTGTTGCAAAAGCTTCATCTCTCTATCATTCGTAAGCAGATTGTTTCCTCTAAAATGTTCTCTGTTTCCATTGATGCTAAAACTGAACTTTTAGATTTGAATTGTTGTTATATGATTCTTATAGTATGGTTTTGTTTCTGCAGTAACTGATATAGTAATGGCGCCAGATCAGAAAACCTTCGTCTTTAGTGAGGTCTCGAAGCACAACAAAACTCTGGACTGCTGGGTTATCATCTCCGGAAAGGTCCGATGTTTTCCGATTTGATTCTAGTTTAACTGATACTGATGTTCATATAATCCTGTTGTCATTTTTTTTACGCGAATTGGCCATAATTCGTTGTGATAAGTAGATATTCCCCCAATTCAGTGTTCGATTCCATTATAATATCAACATCATTTCAATTTGTGACAATAAAAAAACAGCACTAGTACACTACGTGCTGCATTAACCTATATGATGTTTGTATACATTTTGTGCTTGAAATCGATCTGAATGTATTGAGTATTAACAAACATAAACTGTATCAGGTTTTTGATGTAACTCCATTTATGGAAGATCACCCTGGAGGTAGTGAAGTGCTACTAGCAGCAACTGGTATGTTTGTTTAATTTCGATCCATTATCGATTACTCCATTCAAAACTGAATGAAATTCACATTTTTAATCTCTTGGAATTATTACAGGTAAAGATGCTACGAATGATTTTGAAGATGTTGGACACAGTGAAGAAGCTAGAGATCTGATGGACAAATATTACATTGGTAAGATCGACAAATCAACTGTTCCAGCAAAACGTCAATACGTTTTATCTGAAAATCAAAGTTACAGCTCAAACAAGAGTGGATTCATCGTCAAGATATTACAGTTTTTGGTGCCTTTTATAATTTTGGGATTAGGTTTTGCAGTCAGAGCTTACACCAAAGACAAATCTGATTGATTTTATGTCGTGTAGTTTAATAAAAATGCATCATTAGATTATTCAAATTACAATTTAGTGGTGCAAAAGTATTTTGGGCAAAGTGTGTTGTTTGTTCTTTGAGTTAAATGCAAGAGTCCAAGGGGCCTTGTGTGAAAATCAAAGGAGATCTCATAATTTTTTTTTGTTAAATATTATTAAATAATTTTGCTACCGCTAAATTCAAAATTTAAACTTGCTAACATACATCTCGTAAATTACTACCACAACATCACGTCGTTACTCATATTGTTTGTATTGTTCAAACATTCATTCCAATAAACCAATAGTTTAATCAATTATGTACAAAAAATATTGATTCGTTAATGACTTTTGAAGTGAAAGTTCATGCACCCGTTTTCATGACCTAGTGAGACTCTAGACAAAATATCTTTTTTTATTCTTCTTTTTTATTAAATTTCTAAATAAACATCTAATCAATTCCTAAATTAGATGTTATAGCTATCGCACAATCCAAAGCCGTCTCAAACTCATTCTCTTGGAAGTCTCTAGAAAACTCAATAATTGCTCTCACACTGTTCATTGTCTCATCAATATTCATAGTCTCATATTGAAGTTGTTTTCTCAAGTTATTTCCTTTAGCTAATATATGATACCTTATACCCATATTAGTTATAAAATCAAATCTGTCAAAATAATATCATGCATTCCTGCTAGACAATTAACTTCACTTTTAATCTTTATATTCATCTCTTTATCAACAAGTTTATACGAAGCTTTTACTATTTTAGGAGTTTGAATCGATATTGCTTTTACACTTTCAATATTACGTCCTATCATGTAGTTGACAAAGATTTTAAAGTGAGACTTTGTTTGGCCTAATTGTCACTTAAAATTTATGATTAGAATTTGATTATTTTTCAATTAAACTTTTTGGGTAAGGTTTATTTTATAAATATAAAATTATTTGCTAAATTTTATATTATAAACACATTTGTATTTTTCTTTGCATATACTAGAATTTATAATATATATATATATATATATATATATATATATATATATATATATATATATATATATATATATATATATATATATATATTCTTTAGATATTGATATTTTCTTTAAACTAGTGATAAATTTTAAATTTACGATTAGATTTTCATTTTTTATTTCCTTTGTTTTTTTTTCATGAATGAAATGACTTCAAGATTGCAAACAAATATTATATTATGCATATAAATAAGTAACACAACTAATTTTCTTTAATGATAACATATAAAAATATATTTAACAAAAATACCAACACTATAACTATAGATTTGTTTCAAAATTCGAAGAACCCTTAAAATCGAAGGCCCTGTGCGACCGCACCGCATGCACACCGCCAAGGCCACCTCTACAAGAGTCCTGAAAAGCAACTCACTCCATAAAAGCAACTCACTACCCCTATTATTTTATCACTAAAAGGTTTAAAATATCAAATCTAGATATACTATACATATTACAGAACAATTAAATGATTGATCTCTAAAATTACCAAAATGAGACCACATGCATTTCGTTCAACAAAATGAGCTTTTAATTTTTGGGTTAAACAAAAAGTTTTAAATCCAAAAATTAGTTAAACTAGCATTTAGCAAAACCCTTTTTAGATTTTAATAAACTGATTTAAATACTTTTTAAAACAAATGAATCATATTCATACTTTTTAATTATCTTATACGATTAAATATAAATAATTATCTTATACGATTAAATATAAATGTACTTAAACACTTATAACATCTTTATTTGAAAAAAACTATATCAACAAAATTTATAATTTATTAATATTCAATAACAAAATAATAAATATTTATTATATGAATTTATAAAACAAATTAATATCAACAATAATATCGTTTTTTTTAGAACGCTGAACATGTTTGACATGGGTTCTTATGAGATTGAAAAATCGTATTTACTTTAATCGTAAAAAAATTATCATTTACTAATACGCATAATTTTTTTAACCAATTGAGAAGTTTAACCGGTGCACCTAGTATTAAAAAATTAAAAGGTTTTTGACTTTTTATAATTATAGTTTAGAAAAACTAATTTATCATTGTATTTCAATTTTTATGTACATATCATATCTTTTTATGTAATTTTACATATTTCAAAAGCTTCCAACAATATATATCGAATACTATTGTACAAATAATTTTTATAGCATTCAACTTTCAAAAAATAACCATAATAGATTTTTGAATTTATTTCTTAAATATACAAAATAGAATATTGTTGACAATACTAAAAAAAGAGATATACTTATTATTTAATTTTTGAATTTATTATGAGCATGGTTAAGTTAAAATGGTGACTCATATGGTGTGTTTGGCAATCCCCATACAACTTTTGAGAGCTTTTCTTTTTAGTTTTCAAGAAAATACTCGAAATAAATAAAGTTTTGTTCGACAATAGAAGCTTCTAACTTTTAACTTAAATAAAAAACTTTAAATCCAAAAACTATTTAACGTAACATCTTACAAAACACTTTTATATTTTTGCAAATTCACTTAATTATCATTTTTAAAATTAATTTTCTATTTATATTTTACAAAGATATCCTTTTTGCAATTTAAATATAACTAGCGGAAAAACACGGGCTTTGCCCCGGACTGTTTTTTGTGTTTCTTATGAAAAGATATAAAAGTTTTGATTATAAGGACCAAAAATGTCAAAATAGCTAAAAAAATTAAAGGGGTTGGAATTAACAAGTTTTTAAAAAATGGACCAAAGTTATCAATTCCGTAAAGTTTAGTGGCCAAACTTTGAATATTAAAAGATTCCTAAAAAATATAAATTTTTTGATTGAAATAACCAAAAATATCTAAATGAGTAAAAAATAAGAGTCAAAGTTGACAAAAAAAAACATACTATTTATAAGGGAACAAAGTTTTAATATATATATATATATATATATATATATATATATATATATATATATATATATATATGGAAAAGATCAAATGAGAACACCTAAAAGGTTGAAAACGCGAGAACATTTATATTCATTTGTGATTCTATGTATTTATTTGTGGAGAAATTATAAATTTTTACGCACAATCAACATGAATATTCTTTTTCTTTTCAACTGAAATTAAAGACGTAAAGATTTATCATTTCTCCACAAATGAATACACGGAATCACAAATAAATATACTCTCTTCTCGCGTTTTCAACATTTTTGGTGTTTTCATTTGATCTTACTCACATATATATATATATATATATATATATATATATATATATATATATATATATATATATATATATATATATATATATATATATATATATATATATTATTTTGTATTCGGTTGATTGGTCCAGTAGTAATGTCATATGGTCAAAATGATATGTTTTGATGGCATGGTAGATAAAATATATTTTTATTTTTAAATGACTATAATAAATAATTTTTAAATTTTTAAAAATGAAAAAGGACCAAATAGCCACTATTTTCGTTGTCTATCATCTACAAAAATTTGGTTGACTGCAAAATCTGATTTATAGATTTTTGCAGATCAACAGCTATGAAAATCTATGTTGACTGCGAAAAAAAATTCCAAATTATTGTAGGTCACAATTGTGATTAAGATAACCCAAATGATATGATAATTGTTTTAAAATTTGCATGCAAAAGCGATTTTTTTCTTTTAGATTTTTGCAAGACACCCTTTGATTGGTAGAATCCAAATAATATAATAATTGTAATAAAGTTTGTATGTGAAAGCTATAAAGTTTTTTTTTTTCATAATTTTTTCAAATAGCCTATTTGGAGCTAAAAATGTATGACTTGCCAATATCCAACTTTTTAGAGTGTAATGTCTATGGAAAATCTTTGTTACAAAGAACACAATTAAAACAAATCAATTCAAACCGAGTTCATATGCAAAATTTATGAATAATCAAAATTGACTTACTTTAAAATCAAACAAATATGACTTTGAGACATCCAACTTTAGAGGGTAATATGCCCATGAAAGACCCTTATTACAAAGAAGTGAAGAATATAATGAAAATAATCAACTCAAATAGAATTCATATGGAAGATTTATAAATGTTTGAAGTTTGAAAAAATAAATCGCAGCCAACTATGAAAATCTATATTTTGTAGATGGCACAACTACGAAAATTACGGCTATTTTTGGTTATTTCCCATTTTTGTGTCTATTTTATGATAAAAACTTTTTAAAAAAACTATTATTGTTATTTTCTCGTATTTTTATATATTTAACCTTCACCGGCCTATTAATATTATTTATTAAGGATTTCCACTTCCAAAAAAAAAAAAAAAAAAAAAAAAATTAACACCAATATATGATTCGTGGACAAATCAGAAAACAAGAGGTTTGGCAATTGTTAGTGTTTTTAGGAATAAATCCAAAGTCGATTATCTCCTCACCTTAACCTAACCAACGAATAATGATTGTAATTTCCTAACACTTTTAAGAATAATTTTTCAGTTTGATTTCGATTTGATATAAGAAACCTGTTCTTTCTAAGAATAAATATGAAGAACAACACTTTTATTTATAAACTTCATCATTTAAGTATTGACTTATTGTATCATTGCCAGATTGAAGTGGATCCCGTTCATGTAAACAAAGTGTATTATTGTGTTTGTATGTGTTTCACGTGTATGTTGATTTGTACGATTAAATTCGGTTAAAAAAGTTATTTATATCACTGCTTAACTGGTTACTATATGTCCTAGTTTAATAGGTTGAGGTGTTTTTTTTGGAATAATATACTAACCCTTATAACCTTTTCGTAAAAGATATAACTTTTTCATTGTGGTCGTTAGATTGTCACACATATTAATTAAGTCCGTTAAGTAATCAATATAAAGTTATGAATTTTTCTTAAAAATGAGTAATTATGTTGCTTAGACTATGTGTTAACCGAAATAGGACCTTTAACAAAACAATCTTAAGTGGCATAATCGTCTTGTACCAAAGTCAAATATCACATTTTCATTTGCCTTATGATTTTTTTAACAAATAGCTACACCTTTTAATCATACTCCTTAGGTTATCCGGAGTACCAAGAACGAGCCGACTCTGGGTCTAGATGGCAACAATCATGGACCGTGACCACCACCCCGCCCCGGTGGTTCGTGATCGGCCATGGTCGTGGTTGGTTGTGGTCAATACCACATCTAACAACGATGAATCACTTCTTTTTTTCTTTTTTTCTTTTTCCTGCAAAACCTTTTGTGGTTAGTG